ATATGCTTGAAAAACAGGAAATGCAACTGTCCCTTTGTATAAATAAATCTGACTGCAAGGCCTCGGGTGTGGATCTCCTTCGAGCTTCCACCCGTGCACGTCTTCATTGTTGAACCTTGAACAACAGTCTGAGTGTCTTTATTCAACCTGTAGAATGTCTTGTTTAATTTAACTAAACCATTGACACAATAACAGTTCTCTCAAAACAAAACAGAATAGTCCAACAGTTTGCCTGTATCAGCCCTATGGCTGACATGATGTGGGGAAGTGAAACGTGATTATAAAATACCAGTCTATTCACTAACTTCCTTGTGATCATGCATCCGTTGCACATTAAGAGCATGACCAAGACACACGAGCTTTGTTTCCACACAGCTTTTAAGCCCTTTGTCTCTTCGAATCAGTGATAACTTGAAGATGGCCTTCGGTCTAGTATTCTGTGTTTAGCTAAAATCTTATTACATATCTCTAATTACCATGATGTGCACCCATATGTTATCTGCAGGTCATATGAAAATCTCAGTCCACAGATAAGTGCTTGCTTAATGGGAGAGCTGTTTATTCCATTTTGGTGCTTTTTAGTAATATGTCACATAGACACGAGCCTTTTTCGTTTACAGAAAATCTTATTAGTATGAAATATAAGAGAGACTGTTTAGAAATTAGACGATTAGTATGGACATCACCCTGAGGAAAAGCATCTGGTATCTGGTGGTAACACATCACGATGACCGCGTTGTTTAATTTGTTTATTTGGATTGTACAACAATTTAGGGCTTTACTGCCATTTGTTTAAAACACAACAAAGAGAAGATCAAAGAACCCTGCATAGTGCTTTTCGGTTGATAAAGAGACCAGTCCAGTGGTTTTGTGTCGGAAAATTTTAGGAATATGCCGAAACAGTGGACATTTAACATGCAGAAGGCTCTTCAGTAGGTAGGACAGAACTGAATATACAGTCGCGATCAGAAGTTTAAGACAACTTGAAAAATGGCAAAAAGTCATATTTTGCATGATTGGATCTTAACAAGGTTCCAAGTAGAGCTTCAACATGCAAAAAGAAGGAATCGGAGTGAGACAAAACTTTTTTTTGAGCATGCATTTTATGCAAACAATGCTTAAGGCCCAACAGTGGCTGCACTTCCTGAGGGTCCTCAGGAAGTACAAGCTGAACTCCAACCTGCTGCTGATCTTCTACCAGTCATCCATTGAGAGCCTGCTAACTTACTGCATCACGGTATGGTACGGCAGCTGCATTAAGGCGGATAGAGCGAGGCTTCAGAGTGTAGTCAAGACAGCACAAAAGATCATCGACTGCCCTCTCCCCTCCCTGATGGATATTTATTTCTCCCGCTGTCTCAGCAGAGCAGCAAACATCATCAAGGACAGTTCCCACCCTGGTTTCAACATGTTCAGCCTGCTTCCCTCAGGGAAGCGCTACAGCAGAAAAACCCACAGACTCAAAAACAGTTTCTTCCCAAAG